GTCAACACCTATCCATGCTGAACGTTGCTAAGATAGTATTGATTGGGGTGTGGCCAAAAGTGCAATATGCTTCAAAATGTAACTGACAGAGAGCAGTGCTTTTTCCCTTGGATTTTATGTTATTTCAAGATTTTGAATTACGTCGCTAAACTCCTTGAAAAGGTCCTCTTCCTTTTCTCCAAGGTACACAACAAGGCAGCGGATGGCTATAGTTCTCGGCGTACTTCAATTGTATTGTGCTATTTTTGAAAAAGGAAAAAAAGAGAAATGACCTAAATCAATATATTCTGAATGGGTGACTGCCAACAACTTGCATTTCAATGAGAACTCTAAATTACGATCCTACCTCAAGAAGCATGTCCTTGATCTGCTTCACCGAGATTCATTTTTAATAAAAAGCGATATCACAATAGTAACCAAAGTATTTTTACTCTCACAGTAGCCTCTACTACTTTGTATCCTCTCACATAACTATTCACAGTTGAAAGGATGCTAATTTTGGTCACACAGCCATTTGCCTATACAGTGCAACTACAAGGCTATCTACTGTATTTGAATGACAAAAGATGACACTCACCTTAAAATGTCCTTTGTATATTTCTATTGGCCTTAACTGTCGGAACTTGTACAGGCATGTTAAGTGGGAGTGGACTTGAAATCCTTAACTCAAGGTGTAAAATAATTAAGTTATCAAGCCAATTGCATTACTTACTACAACTTGAATGTTGTTTTAAGTCAATTAACGCAGAAATCAGAGTTCAAATTACACACAATATTAAGTTGATGTAATTACCAACATTATTACGTCAACACAACTTATAAATTAATGTTTGCAACTTAAAATGTTTATCTAAATCAATTAACTCACATTTTTATTTGCAACCATGCATTTAATTAAGCGGAGGTGAAAGGTCACCTGAATTCGTTTTTAGAGTGCATTGACACTCAGTCACAATTGACCTTTTAAAAATTTGTATTAATGTACGTTTTTTAAATGTTTTGAATATATATTTATATGAAACTAAATACTAAAGCTTGTATAAAATGCCACATTTACCTTAAACAGGCCCTATTATGCTTTCTGGCTTTTTCCCTTTCGTGTAGTGAGTTATATTGGTTTGTAAATGGTCTGCTAAGGCTAAAATCTCTACAACACACAATTGCGATATCTACAGCTCTCCCTATATTTCTCATGTGTAGCTTTCTGGGTGGAGCCTTCCGATGGATACTCAATATCACTGATGCTGAGCACAAAGAATATTTGTTGGGGTTATGAAACTCATACTAGACCGACCAATGGTGTAACTTGATCACTCACTCAGTTCCTCGCTCAGTGACTTCATGTTAATAAGGCTGGCCCCTTTGCAGTCCAGCCAAAAACATTCCATGTGATTTTCTTTGTGCTGAGCACCAGTGATATTTTCCATGTTGATTAATCATGAGAGGTTTTATTGAAGGCTTCATTTGCTGTGTGAAGATCAGATTGTGGGCCTGTTTGCCGGGCTTCAAAGCTTGCTCTTGTGAATGCATTAAAACAGATGACTTGTTAAGGAGAGAGTGAAGAAAGCTGATTGACAGTACAGGCATGTAATTAAAATCTGCAGACAAGCAGGGGGCCATGGGTCCTTATTAAGACCAGGCTGTATATTCTCTGCACGAATCCCATGTGCATCTTCTTATTAGACTCAAACTCCCCTTTAGTCTCCTCTTTTAAGGGAGAATCTTCTGACTCTTACATCCAATTTCTGAGCTAGTTTAATTTAATTCTCTTTACATCTCAGAGACAACTACATTCACAATGACTACTCAGAAAGAATACCAAATTATAGCTTGTACAGTACAAGTGAACACAAAGGATAAACACAGGCCTCTTTTTGTCTCAACAAAGCACAAAGAGCTCTACCACACCTCACACAGTTAAGATGTTTCGCATAGTAGCGCTTTTTACCAATGTGTAGCACTGCTTTGTGTTTGTGCGGCATGCCACAGTAGATGGGCACGAGTCCAAGAGTAGATTACATTTGAAAACTGACTGACAGTTTTCTCCCAGCACTTTTCTTTAACCGGCTGCAGACAAACCAACACAGGCATCCAGTCTCACTGCCTGTTTGTCTCTATGTCTGTCTTTCTGCAGTTTGAGGGCTGTCCGAAAGCTTACTCTCGTCTGGAGAACCTCAAGACCCACCTCAGGTCCCACACCGGGGAGAAGCCATATGTGTGTGAACATGAAGGCTGCAACAAGGCCTTCTCCAACGCCTCAGACCGGGCCAAGCACCAGAACCGCACACACTCTAATGAGGTATGTCCATTCACACACAACTGACTCACTCAGTGCAGATTCATGTATTTGAGCCACCTTCAGCTTTGTCTTTAGTGTAGGGAAAATTGTGCAAAACTAGGGGACGTTATCATGAAACTAAAACAAATCAAATAAAGACAGTCCTACTGATGTTTCCTCAAAGGAGAACACAGGATAGCTGACATAGAAAGCAGCTATTAAGCTCTTACTGGTTGCCTAAAATGAATAACGTTACCATACGACTCAACTGCATTGTCTATTACTTTTTGAGAGATACTAGTTTTTTCCAGGATTACATTTGTTTGACGCACTCATGAGATAACTGTTCCTGTCCTGTGAGAAAAAAGTTCCAATGCAATCTGGATCATTATTTTCCCTTATAACATCATTGACAAAGCAATTTTATTCTATGAAATGGGATTTTGTAGGAGACAGGGTTGCCCCAAAAATGTACCTCAATTTAATTTGCCCTTTAAATCTTTCTTGGCAGAAACCATATGTGTGTAAGATCCCGGGCTGTACCAAGCGTTACACAGACCCCAGCTCTCTCAGGAAGCATGTTAAGACAGTCCATGGACCGGAGGCCCACGTCACCAAGAAACAGCGAAGCGACATCCCCCCCAGACAACAGCCCCCCAAAGGCAATGGGGAGAATGAGGCTAATTCCAAGCTCGGTGGAAGAGGCCTGGACGGCAAGATGGAGGCCAACAGCACCTCTAGAGGGGGGGAGGACTGCCTACAAGTCAAATCCATCAAGACTGAGAATTCTATGGTGGGTCCTCCCTACATGAAATTGGAAAGTTATCCCTCACTATCTTCCTTTTAAAATATTTGCAGAAAATTGTCCTTTGATTTAAACTTGACTGCATCCTGAAGCTATTTTAGCAGATTTAAACTAATTCTTAATGTCACTTGATTGTGATATTATAGCATGCCTCTGTCTGTTTAGGAAACAACAAAAACACTTGTTTATCCACTGTTTTCACTTTACTAACATGGCTCTGAAGTTAGATGTGTTCTTCCAGTACTTCCTGCATCCTACCTAACTCACCTCTCTGGTTGTTGCTTGAACTTGCTTTTCTCAAGTTAACCTTTCTAATGGACAGACTTCACTGAGGTGAGCACTAAAACTGTCCCGTCACCACTCAGCATGGGGAGATGTGTGAATGTGTCCTCATGTACATGCCACATGGTTGCATTCTTGCATGATGGTCACGGTTCTTTTTGCATGAATACCCATTTTTACAATCTCAAACATAAATGAATTTATGGAGACGATTAAACTAGATTATTTTTCCACAAAGATCCCTGGCGGTAGACTCTGCTGTGGGCCAAAGATAAAGCCACTGTAACATTCATATTCAGTGGCTTGGAATATAAATAGTGCCATGATCAAGCTGTGATCAAGACTTTATTCATTTCCGATCAGTTTGAATTACAGTGGCCGTTGGATTGTTGCTCAAAGAACTCGTATATTATCAACTTGTTTTCTGGTTGTAAATAAATCAAATTGATCTATTATTAATGATATTATGAAACTCTAGAACTACATTAATTATTAGAAAACACAATCACAATCAGAATTTACTAAATACGCTGATTATTTAAAATGGAAGAATAAATAATGGATTTCTCTGAACTTGGCATGAGACAAAAGCTTTGACTATTTTTCCCATAATTTTTTGTTATTCATCGGTGTAAAAATTTGAATTGTACAACTATCGTTTCTAAACCCTCCTGTCGTGTGTGTTACTCTCCCCTTACTTTGATATTCCCAGACAAATTTTACCTTAACTGCTCTTACATTAACCCCAAAACCCTTAATCACCACATTTTTTTAACTTCCTTTTAAGCTGTGACTACTGAATTACATAGTTTACATGAATAACTGCAATAAATATACAAAGAACCAACTAAGGAAATGTATTCCAAAACTAACATTTTGTCGATTGTGGGTGTGTTCTATCCACTCAGAATTAAATGGAAGGATTGATCAGCAATGTTATATGTTCAAATGTAGGGATGTAACGATATATCGAATATCGCGGTAAATAAATGTCTCGATACCGTCGTGAGACTGACAATAATATATATATATTTTTTTTTAAATATATATTTTTTTAAACCTTTATTCAACCAGATGGTCCCATTGAGATCATCGATCTCTTTTTCAAGGGAGACCTGTCCAACATGGCAGCAAGTTACAACATGAACATAAAACAACAGAGGACTCGAAAGGACATCGTATTTACAGGGCGACATGTACATACCTAGAGACATTGAGAAGTACCAACAGTATATTTATATCTCGCCCTGTCAATAAGCCTCACCTTCATGGCAAAAACGGTATGGTTTTTGAAGTGGTGGAGAGACAATGCACAGTTTTACCCACTGCTGTCACCCATGGCCAAAGCATATCTCTCTGTCCCAGCAACATCAGTACCAATAAACTAATAAACTCATAAGCAAGAGTTTTTTCCACAGCAGGGTAGATTGTAAACGCCCAAACATCCCAGCTTCTACCTGGAAATGTGGACATGCTCATATTCCTAAAAGATAACCTTGATGATGCTGAGTGAGTGAGTGAGTTAGTGAGTTAGAGTTGAGTTACTTGAAAAACTAAAGTGAAACTAGATTTATTCTATTGCAGGGTCTGATTATTATATTGTTGACACTTTAAAATACTACTATCCTACTAAAATGCTGTACAAATCAGATTTATTATTTAATAAAGAAAAACAAATTCAAGTTAAAAAAATATAAAAAATTCACATTTTTTCCTTTATTTTTCAATATCGCGATAAATATCGTACCGTGGACTTTTTATCGCGATATTATCGTATCGTGAGTTTTTGGTATCGTTACATCCCTATTCAAATGCCTACCTTGGAAGATATCATAAGGCCTTGAGGCAATCAAAAGTAAAACACAATATTTATAAATTATGAAAGTAGTGAATCTGTCAAATTAGACCCAAACACGACAGCAGGGTTAATAAAGCTTATTTGATTCCTCCCACTCACACACTTCCCTCCCTGCTGTCCTCCACCAGACGTATCAGTCCAGTCCTGGGGGCCACTCGTCATGCAGCAGTGAGCCGTCGCCTCTCAGCAGCGCAAACAACAACGACAGTGGAGTAGAGATGGCCCTGCACAGCGGCGGCAGCTTTGGGGACCTTACACAGGACGATGGCCCCATGGTGGACTCTACTGTTCCAATCGGGGGACATCTGGCTGGGGTGGGGCTTCAGATGAGGAAAAGTGTGGGTCATGGTGGTGGGGTCACGATCAAACTGGAAAACATCAAGCAGGAAAGGCTGACCACAGTGAGGGACTCCTGCCCCTGGGGCAACTCTGCACCACAGCCACTGCAGGGCCAACGCAACAGCACGAAGCTACCCCCAATACCTGCAGTCGGTAAGTGTGGAATGTTCAGGAAATCTCTTCTTATTACAAAGGGGACACAAAGCTTGATTTGCATTATGTCCTAGAATTCAATAGACAAGCTTGTTTAATCTTTCTTATTCTTATTATTTATGTATATTGTTTTATTTATTTATTTATTCTATAGGTTGTATAGGTTTTTTATTTATATTTATTTATTTTACAGTTTGTAACAGTTTGCTTTTATTATTTTTGTATTATTATTTTATTATCCTTTTATTTGTTATATAGGTTTTAATGTTTTATTGTATTTATTCAACTTGCCTTATGTCGTCCTTTATTTTACAGAGAGGGATCATTATTTGTATTTTATGATGTTTTTATTATCACATCTTTTGCCTCTCTGTGTCCCTTGAACTGTTGTATTATGTTGTTATGCTGCATCTGTGCAAAAAGGTTTTACAGTTTTTTACCTAAAGTATATGTATTTAAATTGTATTTGTGATGTCACTTTGAGCTGCACCTGGTGTATGTAAGGTGCTATACAAATACATCTTTTTTATTATTATTATTATTATTATTATTATCATACATTTGAACAACTCTACATTAGTTAGTGTCATTATGTAATAATGTCCTTTGTTTCTGCCAGGTTCTCTGCTGGAGAACTCCAACTTGATCACTAACCTAGGCGGTCAGTACCCCGGACAACGCATGGGGGACCTGTCTTCTTGTGAAGTAACGCTGCTGAACCAGCTCAATGAGCGGCGTGACAGCACCACCAGCACCATGAGCTCAGCTTACACCATGAGTCGGCGCTCCTCCGGCATTTCACCCTGCTATTCCAGCCGCCGTTCCAGTGAGGCGTCCCAGTTTGGTGGTAACCGCCATAACAACATCAGTTCGGCTGATTCCTATGACCCAATCTCCACTGATTTGTCTCGCCGCTCCAGCGAGGCTAGCCAGTGTGGAGGTGTCGGTGGAGGAGGTCTCCCAAGCCTCCTCAGTCTGACACCAGCTCAGCATTATCGACTTAAGGCAAAGTATGCTGCTGCCACTGGTGGAGCTCCACCCACTCCTTTGCCTAACATGGATCGGATGAGCCTGAGGACCCGCATGGCTCTCTATAGTGACTCCCAGGAAGGCTTGTCGCACCAACTCCATCAGCCCCCTTCTGGAACTGTGCCTCGGCGATGCAGTGATATTGGTTATGGCACGCGGAGTATGATGCCCCATGAAGTACCCCCCCACCTTCCACGTCGTGCCAGCGATCCGGTGCGTCGTTCCACATTGGACCCTCTCTCCTTTCCCAGGGTTCAGCGCTATAACAGCATGAACAGCATGAACCCCATGAATTGTCCATCCCCTGAGCGCCACCAGGCACTGGCGATGCAGGGCTATACTCGCTCGGATGGCAGCCTGCAACGCTACCCATTTGCCCCCAGACCACCTAGCATTTGTGAGAATGTAGCCATGGAGAACATGGCAGTAGATGGGATGATGATTGGGCGGGAGCAGAGTGGGGAGGAGGACATGGTTCTTCCGGATGATGTGGTGCAGTACCTGAGGACCCAAAATCCTGGCCCCACAAGTAACAACTCTGGGCAAGGGGACTACCATTCCAACAATCAGACTCATGGCCACCAGACTAGCATGGGCCCACCTGCGTCATTTTACGCGCAGAGGAGAATGGCTATGGTTGATGGCACGATGAATCATCAATCAGGTCATCAAATGGGTTCTGTTGGCCCACACCAGCCCTTCCCAGCACCATTGGACAATATGAATAAGAATAGCATGCCAGTGCAGTGGAACGAGGTGAGCTCAGGGACTGTCGACACCACAACCAAGCTCTCCAAACCACAGCAGCATCCTCTCCGGGGGAACCTAGCTGTTGTTCAGCAGACACACAACTTTGGTTCCTTGCAGGGACAAGGTCAGGGCCTTGGCAGCAACCAGCAGGTAGTGCCTATGAGTCAGAACATGTCTATGCAGGGGTATGCTAACCACAACAGCCAGAGGCTGATGAACGCCTCCCACCAGCAGCAGAGGCAGCAGAGGCAGTGCAGTGTGAACTTTAGTGATCAAATGAGTCCTCAGCAAGGATTTGGCCAAGAAGCAATCCCAAATGCTATATCTGGGAGTACCAGCGTGAGACCTACCGGGAGCACTATGGGAGATCCAGAACTGCAAAGTTACAGAGCAAGGACTCAGGCTGATGGCTATCCTCATGTGAACCAAATGGATCAGCAGCAAAATTACAGCGTTCACTTCCAGCAGCAGCAGCATGTCCATAATGCAGGCAGAGGAATGTTACAACCCAGGCCTCCCATGGAGCCGAAGACTAGTGCCAGACAACAAACAGTGACTAACATGATGCAATCGAGTCGAATACCCAAATCATCGGATTTTAGCCCCAGTCATGGTACTGGCACCTCAGAGGCAAGCCCAAAGAGGCCCAGTGGCTCAGCAAGCCACAACAGAAGCTCTGAAAATCAGAACTCTGCTATGTTTTACACAGATCAGATTCATATGTTTGAGCCAAATTCTGTCAGCTTTGATGCCCCCATGTCCCCCGGTGCCAGCCAGGCTCCTTCCAGCAACACCATTGCTGCAGCCAACATTGCCTCACCAGGAGTCAATCACGTCTCCAGCAGTACAGTGGATTCTTCTACGGGTGGATCAGGTGGCACGGAGCATGCCCAAATCGACTTTGACACCATGCTGGATGATGGGGACCACTCCAGCCTAATGTCAGGCACGCTGAGTCCTGGCCTCCTGCAGAGCCTCTCCCAGAGCTCCTCCCGCCTCACCACCCCGCGCAACTCCGTCACCTTGCCATCTGTACCGGCAGGGATCGGCAACATGGCCATCGGTGACATGAACTCTATGCTCACAGCCCTGGCTGAAGAAAGCAAATTCCTTAACATGATGAGCTGAGAGCAATCAAGCACCTCATCATCCCTCCAGTCTTAACCATGTCTACATCAGGAATATTTGCCTACACAAAGCACTGATTGAACAATGCAAACTGGCTATTTCATACTTTTTTTCCCTTATCTGTCAATAGTTCTATTCTTATCTCTTGTAATATTTGCTTCAGATTATAATGTTACATTATAAAAACGTATTAGTAAGTATAGCTAGGGTTAAGGAAAATGTTTTCATTGTTTGATAAAAAGCCATACGTTTTACCTACAGATATATGATAGTCCAGGGTAACAATTGCCATTCAGTATTTGCTGGTGTAATAGCCCTTTACTAAGTGGTGCACTGAAAGCAGTACACACACATGTAGTACCCCGCTGAGGACATCAACTATGAGCATGAACACAGGAAATGAACATGATATGTAGATAACAGATAGTATTTTCTCATGAAGACTTTTATGTGTATTGATTATACTGTATGGTACTTGCTTTAAGTTATGCTATAGACTCTTGATGTTTAAACTAGGGCTGTCAAAGTTACAGTAACATGTGGACACCTACTATTCATTCACAAGGTATAATGAATCAAATGTTTATGAAATAATCATGTGGAATGTTAACAATATTGTTACAAAGCTGAGCTAAAATTGTATGTGTACAGAACAATGTGTAAAATAAGTGTCGAGACTTGCAGTGGCATCTTGGAACACACATTAAATATATTAATGTAGAACAATTCATTGAAAATAACCTTTTTGGTACCAGATCTAAAAAATATATATGACATGGCTCAGGCTGACATGGATATCATTTTTAAACAGGAAAACGTACAGGTGCTTGAAAAAATAAGACAGACAATAAACAAACCATGCATGTAGAAATTGATGCATACATGCCCATTATGAAAAATACATTAAATGTTATTGCAATTTATTTATGCACTTATTTCAACACTGCAGCTTAAGAAATAGAAGTGCTGTTAGAAGAACCTGTATTGCTTGTGTTGCAAATACACCAAGATTTTTGAAATAAAGGATATTTGTGGCTCCAAGCAATTCTGCTCAAATTAAACATATTTTACGACATTTCATTAAATTCAGTTTGAATTTGAAATGTGTGACTAACTGCGGTTCACAAAATGAAGCATTTCACAACCCTATTTTAAACGTGGTTGTACGACGTCATGATCCATAGATATTAGGTGCTTTTTGATCATGGTCTGAGCTCTTGGGGATGGCACTGTAAAATCTGATTTCCTTCTTTGCCCGATGGATCAGACAGAAACTCTCCATCTCACAAGGGTAGATGATTGAAAAGGACAAGGATATGCCTCTGTGTTAGTCTATCAGGGCACATGAACCCATGTGTCGACGAGGAGCATTCTCTAAAAGAATATAAAAGTACCTCTGTGTGTTCTCAGTAGAGATCCAATCCAAATTAACACATTCATACAGCCCCCCCCCCGCACCCCCCCGGGCTCTGGACGAACTGCTGAGAGCACAGGGAGGGACACTGACTTTAAAAAATAAAATCCTATTTTATTATGTTGCAGCATTTCTAAGTAGCCTTTCAAATGTTTGTGTGTATGCTACCATTCGCTTTTACTATGCTCAGTGTGTGTGGTTTTGTTTGTGTGAGTGTGTGTGTATATAGCTTTTGTACATTTCAAATAAACTATCCCCCTTGTTTCTGTTTTAATCCCTGCATTGTGTCGTCTTTGATATAGCACGGCCTCTGTTCCCTGGAGGTCACATGAAAGTGGGGCTTGCATGCTAAAAATCACATTTGGCCTGGTCTCAGACTGCAGCTGCAAGAGCAAAGACCATTCAACTCACTGAAGCCATATGTACAGCATGAAGGGTGCACACACATAAAGAGAAAATCAAGCAGCAGATATAAGTGAAAAACAACGAGATTTAAAGATATGATATATATACTGCACACCCACACTGAAAAAGCTGAAACGTTGACTTTAATTCAAAGTATTATGTCAACAGATTTCACATAACTGTATTAAGTTAGTTTAAAGAAATAATATTAGGTTGAAATATTATTGCTTTCAACTAACCTAATAAAATGTTAAAAAAACTCTTCATTTTTTCTCATTCTGCTGCAGCACCTCTTTTCGCCCTCTGTCTGAAACCAGAGCCCAGTCTGCTCTGATTGGTTAGCTGGCCGGCTCTGTTGTGATTGGTGAAAAGCTTAGATCTGTCCCTCCCGTTAGCCTATATCACTTATGTGTTGGAGCGCTAGCCAATAGCAGCGTTAAAGTTACATATCGATGTCACCAGCGGATCTTTTGGAGGGGCAGAGATAACACGTTGTCCACACAATATTCACATTTGATTACCAAAAGGAGAATGTGTTCGCATATACTTCCTTTTTCACATATCGAGCAGTTAGAGACTCCAGTAATCTTCACCTGGAGTGGATTTTGCATCCACCTGATGAATGTTAGTCCAATATTCACTGTACTTTTGGTTATGTTTTACTCTCTTTAAACTCCTGATGGAAATGTTGGTTTATTTAAGCAGGAATAGCTCAACTTCATTCACCAGGCAGTGTTTCTGCTTAGTAGGTAAGGAAGGTTTTAAAAAATATGAATAGGTCATCTGCTGTAGCAAAAAAGGCTGCTATGTTATTACAATATAAAAGTATAGCTGCTTTTAGTGAAACATTTGAGAAGATCTTGTCCTTCAATCCTCTAATGTTAAAGGTGGGGTAAGTAATTTTGGAGAAACCAGCTCGAGCGCGCTAGAATTTGAAAATACACAGCCGGAACAAATCTGCCACTTCCTTACAGAGCCCCTCCCCCAACACACACACGAACACACACATGACCAATGAGGGCACGAAATAAGTTTGTGCTCAGATGGAAGGCTGACAGGCAGGTAGGCCATCGTGTTATTTTAACCGGGCCAGCTCAGATGATTGTCGTGCTTTTTACAGTACTACAGCTTCCACAGATGATATTTTTAAATGGATTTTTTGTCAAAGCACTTAAGATATTCATTGCCATCAGGATGTTAAGAGCATTCCATGGAATATAACAAAAAGTGTATCTCAAGCCAGTTTCTCAAACTTACCTACCCCACCTTTAATATAC